GTGTCTTCGATTTTTAACCCGGGTCAAATCGGTTAGACATATACATGTAATTAGATAGAGAAATATACTCTAACTAAAAAAAAATAAATTCCCAGTATCATATGCGTATTAGCAAAATAAAACTTGTATGTTTAATGTGTATCAGCAGAATGAAACCTGTATGTTTAATGCACTTTGGCAAAATGTAAGCTATAATGCGTTAAAAGAAATTGAAAGCTATAAGAACATGATTATCTGGTTTTTTATTTGAAAACATATAACAAACAATGCACATAAAAGTTACAGTAAAGCAAATACTAAAATATTAATAAAAAACACACCACTTTATGATTATTGTAATTGATAATTTTATTATATTCGTAAGGAAATAAATAAGTTTTTCTGAATTCTATATTTCAAAATATGTCTCATTGCATAAACAGAAGATACATTCCGAATATTCTGAAAATGATACATTTATCCGTCTAGTATTAGTGTTGGATAGGACCAACTTTTTAGTGTTTTTGCGATAGTAATTTTTCGAATTTTTCACACTTTTCATACTATCTTCACGATCTTAAAAATTCTGCATAATGGCGCCCATTTCTAGAAAAATTTGAATACACCTGCTGTCTTCCGGATCTATGCACACTTAGTATCTCTAGCCACCTAATTTATACTATTCTTATTAAGTAGCAAAATGCACCGTAAAATCTTGAGATAGCATTACTTTGATACACTACATGTGTTGTTTCGTGACAAAGTACTAAAGTATCAATTTTCAGGCCTACATTCACACTATTATAAGTCCACTTATGCTATATGATGTGAGCTTCAGGTTGTCTGTAAGTGCTATTTCGAAACCAAACAGCTATTTTTAAGAATCCAGCTTACGAAATAAAGTCCCATGTCACTTATTTCGGCAAACGGGCATTTGAATAGCAAGTTAATGTGATTTGAGCGCGTGGGAGTAAAAACCTACAACTGATCATAATGATTTACTATAATCAGTTACAGGTTTTTACTCTCACGCACTAACGCTAATTTGTAAAATACATTTTAATAATATTCAGAAAGGTGTACTGACCTATGCATGTATTGTTTTTAAAAAACTCATGCAATTATAAGGAGAAAAAAATTGCGTGTTGATGCATATTCTTCTGTTTAAAAATATTCCCAAAAGGATATACTATTTGTCAATAAATAAAGGAGGGGTTAAGCCAATTTTTTTAAATAAACATCCTTTTTTTTTTTAAAAAAAAAAAAAGTCGGTTTTGTTATTTTTACTATATTTTTGTCCAAAGCAAAATTCACTAATATATTCCACTTCAAGATTCACCATATATCATTTGCTTTTTTCTTACAATGACCGATGATGATGTTTATGATGAACTTCCTAAGGAAACATCTATTCTTGGTCTTTATCATGAGGCTAATGATAATCCATTAATTAGTTCTGATAGTGAAGCGGTTTCTAGTAGTGGAGCAGTTTCTAGCAGTGGGGTAGTTTCTAGCAATGGGGCAGTTTCTAGTAGCGTGGCAGTTTCTGGTAATAGGATCGTTTCTGCAGTTTGTGTAGATAACCAATCTCCTGCAACAAAAAAAAGAAAACTGAAATATAGACGAAATTATGAAAAGTATAGTTGGGTATGGAAATACTTTGATTTAAGTAAAGATAAACAATATGATGTATGTAAAGTTGAGGTGATGAATTTAAACAACGAAAAAGTTAAATGCGGTCATAAGTTTATACATAATGGTAGCACAGGAAATATGAGCGGTCATCTTCAAAATAGACATAATCTACAGGAAAATAAAAATAAAGTAAGTTTTTTATTAATCGCTATTTAATATGTAATACATAATGAATAATTATACTTATTATCATACAGAATCAAGACCGTACTGTTCAGCAAACATTAACAGAAGCTTTTGAACGGGCAAAGATTAAGTCGCATAGTGAACCACGAAACCAAGAGATTCGACAAGCAATTGCTGAATGGATCATTGTTGATAATTTGGCAATTAATATAATCAATGGAAAAGGTTATAAGAAAATGATGAGAATTATCGATCCGGCTTTTCAACTTCCCTCTAATAAAAGAATTAAAAAAATAATTAATGATGGTTATCCTAAAGCAGTCGAAAATTTAAAACAATTACTAGATAACACGTGTGAATCGGCATCTTTAACAGCCGATCTATGGACTGCCCGCAGCAAGCATGGATATATAGGTATAACACTCCACTGGTTGTCAAATGATTTTAAAGCATATGACTGCCTTCTTTGTGTAGAGCATCTATCCTATCCACATTCGGCTGAAAGGATTGTTACATTTTTAAAAAAAAAAATTTTTGAATTTGGGTTAGATAAAAGAATTACTTGTATTACAACAGACAACGGCAGTAACATGGTTAAAGCAATTAGATTATGGGAAGAGGTTGAACGTCTACCTTGTGCAGCCCACACTTTGCAGCTTTCTGTTGCTCGCGCCTTTAAAAAAACAAATGTATATATTAAAAAAATAAAAAAATTAGTCAAGTTTTTTACTAAGTCTCCTAAGCAGAGTGAACGTCTCGACAAAGTGCAACAAGAACTCCAAAACCATTCACAAATTCAGAATAATATTGATTCAACCAATACGTTAAATTCTAGTGATAGTGATTCACTGTCAGTAAATGCTGAAGATTCTAACAAACTCATTTTACGAAATATAGCAGAAATAAAAACCAGATGGAATTCCAAATATCATTCATGGAAACGGTTACTTAAGTTACGTAAAGCAATTGAATGGTTATGTGCGACGTTACCTTTATCCGACAACTCAGATGATCAAGCAGATGGTCAAAAACTAAAAAAGCTAGTTCTTTTAACACGAGAGTGGGATCTGCTAACTCAAATTATTGTTTTGTTAGAGCCGTTTGATGATGCTACCACTTATTTTAGTGGTTCACGATATGCTACCTTATCAATTATATATCCATTAATTCAAGCCCTTAAATATACGTATGTTGAAGTCGAAGAAGAAAGTAATGTACCAGATAAAGAACAAGGTAAGTAAATTAAACTTACGATTTTATATTTTCATGTAATTTTTTACTAATATATTATAAAATAATAAATATTTGTTAAATAGATACGCCTAATTTCTGTCATGAAGAATCATCTGATGATGATAGTGAAGATTCAGATACTGATATTATAGAATCTTCAACACATCATAAAATAATTGTTACTACTAACCCAGATGATAATTCTTTACAAACTTCTCCAATTATTAAATCAATGCGTCGTATTATCTATAACTCATTATTTGATTATTGGAATGAACCAATAATGACCGGTTTGTTGGCATCACTTCTGGACCCCCGGCTCAAAACACTTTCTAATTGGGATGAAGAAACTCAAGAAAAAGCTAAAGAAGAGTTGACACGTCAATATGAATATATAATTTCTTCAACTTGTGGACAAAAAATGATGCCAGAACATGCTATTACCTCAAAAAATATTAATACCCACCGTAATCGTTTACATTCATCAATCTTTGGTACTTCTAGTTCAAGAAACATTACAGCAAATTGTTTAGATGAATTAGAATGCTATTTAGACCCTACACGAACACCTCTTGCTGATGATACTGATGATCCGTTTGAGTGGTGGGCAATTTGGAAAAAAAAATTTCCTAATGTAGCCAAATTAGCAAGAAAGTACTTAGCTATTCCTGCGTCCTCCGTGCCTAGTGAAAGGTTATTTTCGGACGCGGGTAATCATATTACTGCTAAGCGTACCCAACTAAATCCTAATTTAGTGAGTAAAATGATGTTTATGAAGAGGAATTCCGATGTAATTGAGATATTTTAGGGATCTATTTGCTAATAAAGGAAAATTATCAGATTTAATTGTAAAAAAAAAAAAAAAAAATTATTTTACTTATCGTTATCATCGCATTTTAAAAGTGAAATTTTTATAATTAATCGTAATCCGAATGTTGGAAAACCTAGATAACAATTTGTCTTGGTTTGTAACCATTAAAGTTCGATCTAAATTTAAATTAGTTCAACTTCTAATATGTGTCAAATACAGTATGCCTTTACCATATCGTCACAAAATAATGCCCCAGGTTATTATTTCGCGACGATACAGTATTCAGAATTTGGTTTCTGCCCGCTAAAGGTTTATCGCTACTACTATTAACCGTTTTCACTCGAGTACC